TCGCTTGAGCCCAGGAGTTGGAGGTTGCTGTGAGCTGTAATGCCACGGCACTCTACCCAGGGGGACAGCTTGAGGCTCTGTCTCAAAAAAAAAATAGAATAGGCGGAGTGAACCTGTGGTGGTAGAAATCAGAACAGATTGCTTGTGGAGAATAGAGGTAAGAAAGATTTTTAGAGTGATAGTGTTTTATAGCTTCTATGTCTTGATTGGGGTATTCTTTGTACAACTACCTACGTTTATCAAAAACTTACTGACCTGTACCCTTAAGATCTGTGTCTTTTATTGTATACAAACTTGACCTAAAAACACAACCAGCTAGCTTCTACTGTAATTCTGCGGCAGCCTCTGAGGCTTATTAATTAATTATGCTTTGCTTCAGGGTTCTTAGATTCTGTTAGGCACAGATATTATAATAGATTTACACTGTGTATTTAATATGTACAAAAAATGAAAAGAAGTCAAATAGAAGAAAAGCATAGAAAATTGCAGAAAATTGCAATTTATAAATGTAGGTATTGGTTTCTTTTTTCCCTTTTAAATCCTCTTAAGTTTACATGAACATTCAAATATTCACAATAAATTATGCAACTTTTTATTACAATAGCATTTGTATAATATATTCCTGTTTGTTCCTTTTTCTTCACAAGTGACTGAAGTAAGGCAAAAGTTCCTATTTTATAGGTCAGAAAGCTGGCAGTAAATTAGTTAGATGGCATGTGATGTGTATAGGAAAGGTAAAGCCAAACAAAAAGTCAGTCTTCTGATTCACAGTTAAGGCCTCTTTCCATGACGCTCGGTGCCTCCCAGGTGTTAATTCTCTTTATGTGTCAACCTGGTTTGTCCAGGGAAGTAGTGTAAAATGGGTCAAAGCACATTCTTCATCACACTTCATATTCCCAGCTATATTAACCTGATAGCAAAAAAGTGGTCCTAGAAGTCCAAGTGCAGTGGGTGATAATTCTGTGCTGGAATAGCTCCCCGTTCCATGTTATGGTAGATTCTTGGTCTTCATTCCATGTTTAGTAACATAGTTGCTTTTGTCTGATGTATATATATATGTATTTATTTTTTCTTATTTTTGCTTTAGGCCCAGACACTGACAGTATGGAGGCAAGCTGACAAACATAAGATTCCCCGAATCTGTTTTTTAAACAAGATGGACAAAACTGGAGCAAGGTACTTTACATGTGTTTCTTCGGCTTATCAAAATGAGAACGCACTTTGAACTTTTAATGGACTACAACTGAAATTTAGAAAAAGCTATTCTTTCTTATAGGGTAAATCTATGGAATCCCAGTTCGTTGCCATTAAAAAAGATAATTTCAAAGTAGGTAATTGATAGATTAAGTAACAGTTTGGGATTAATAGAGAGCCGATAGAAGATGAATCATCCTGTTTCTAGTGTAGAGAGGCTGAATCATAGTTCTAGGATTCTTACGAAGTGGTATCGTGCTGATGCTAGTGATTCTGTTTGGAACTATATGGTATAATCCCTGTACTCCTGTAGCTTACATTGCTTCTCATTGTTGGCACAGGTACAGAGTATTATTTCCTGAAGTTTCCTAAGAGGAAGGTATTAACTTCATACCTGTTTTAAGAATTTTTAACTATAGGCTCAGTGCCTGTAGCTCAAGTGGTTAGGATGCCAGCCACATACACTAGAGCTGGCGGGTTCGAATCCAGCCGGGGCCTGCCAAACAACAGTGACAACTACAATCAAAAAATAGCTGGGCATTGTGTCGGGCGCCTGTAGTCCCAGCTGCTTGGGAGGCTGAGGCAAGAGAATCGTTTAAGCCCAGGAGTTGGAGGTTGCTGTGAGCTATGATGCCGTGGCACTCTACCCAGGGTGACATCTTGAGGCTCTGTCTCAAAAAAAGAAAAAGAATTTTTAACTCTAATTATTTTGCTTTCTACAGTTTTAGCTATGCAGTTGAAAGCATCAGAGAGAAATTAAAAGCAAAGCCTTTGCTTTTACAGGTAAATTGGTTAATTACAAGCTCCTTCTAAGTTTCCCCATCAATTTATTTTATTGTGATATTATAATACATTTGTGAAGTTGTCTGAAATCCTTTTTTGAGGAAGCTGGGATAAAATTAAAAATACCTACACATAATGGTAATAATAGATATTTGAGGGAAAGTAGTGCAATTACCAGTGATACCTTGGAATCCGAACTTAATTCATTCCAGAACCCTGTTCAAATTCTAAATTGTTTGAATTCCAAGACATGTCTTCTCCTTTAAAATAATAGAAACTGAATTAATCCATTCCTGCGTCCCACAAACTCAAATTTTCAAAATGATTTGAACAGTAAATACACTGAGGTAAAACATTAAATGGTATTTGAATAAAAATTTTGTAAATAAAATTAATGTTAAAAATTGTTTTGTCACAATAGTACACTTGATTTGAAACATACCCCTCACTGTTCACAAACTCCTTAAACTCGTTTGCAAACTTTGCTGCTGCTTTTGAATTAGAACTAGCAGCCTCTTCGGGCATAACAGCACCATACATCCCAGTCCTTTTAAAGTTCTTCATCTGCCCTCTACTGGCTTTCAGCTCTTCCTTTTGAGCCCTAGTGTCAGGCATACCTTTCACTAAATCATCCTGGAGGACCTTGGCTTTCTCACGAATTACTGTCTCAGAAATCACATCACCAGCCAGCTAGCTGTTTTTCATTAATCCACACTAACAGGAGATTTTCCATCTCTTCTGTACTTTTTGATCTCAGAAATTACTGTCTCAGAAAATCACATCACCAGCCAGCTAGCTGTTTTTCATTAAGCCAAACTAACAGGAGATTTTCTAGCTCTTCTATACTTTTTGATCTCCTAGAAGTCAATGTCATAACCTGTTTCACACCATCAGCTGGTTTGATAACATCTTTATTTTTCAAAATCTTATGAACAGTTGATTTAGGCGTCCTGAACATAATAGCAAGATCAGCCACATGTGGTGGCGCCTGTAGCTCTAGTGGCTAAGGCGCTAGCCACATACACCAGAGTTGGCAAGTTCAAATTTGACCCAGGCCTGCCAAACAGTAACAATTACAACCTACAAATAGCCGAGCATTGTGGTGGATGCCTGTAGTCCCACCTACTTGGGAGGCTGAGGCAAGAGAATCGCTTAAGCCCAGGAGTTGGAGGTTGCTGTGAGCTGTGATGCCAAGGCACTCTACCCAGGGTGACAGCTTGAGGCACTGTCTCAAAAAAAAAGGATCAGCCACACATGCACCACTTTCATGCTTAGTGATAAGATCTTTGGTTGGAGCTTAAACAGCTTTCCTTTTACTCTTATTTTCCTCAGTACACTTTTTAGGACTTATGGCAAATACACTTAGTTCTTATATAAAAAAGTAACATAAAATAGGCACAGAAGCATTCAATTAGCAAAACCTACACGAGATGCTTTCATTACAGCTTCCGACAACGAATTGAACTACAGCTCCAACAGTGAATGGGTGGCCTGAGCCCTGGGGAAACGTGCATAAAAACACATGAGCAACATGCTGGGCATTTGGATCCCAAAGCAGCATTTCGAGTTCAGGCAAAATTTGCTCTAATCTTCGTTTGGATTCCAACTTATTCAAATTCTGGGGTGTTTGGATTCTGAGGGCAATACTATACTTGTATCACTAAAGCAGTTTTAAGTGAGTGATCATTTCATTATGCCAATCTCACTCTGATTTATAGTTACCAATTGGTGAAGCCAAAACTTTTAAAGGAGTCGTGGATGTGATAAATAAAGAAAAACTTCTTTGGAATCCTAATTCAGGTGATGGAAAAGACTTCGAGAGAAAACCCCTCTTGGCCGGGAGTGATCCTGAATTGCTGAAGGAGACAACGGAAGCAAGGAATGCCTTAATTGAACAAGTAAAATAAATATATATATATTTTTTTTTTTGAGACAGAGCCTTAAGCTATCCCCCTGGGTAGAGTGCTGTGGCACCACAGCTCACAGCAACCTCCACTCCTGGGCTCAAGCAAGTCTCCTGCCTCAGCCTCCCAAGTAGCTGGGACCACAGGCACCCGTGCACAACGCCTGGCTATTTTTTTCGGTTGCAGCCATTATTGTTGTTTGGCAGGCCTGGACTGGATTTGAACCCACCACCTTAGGTGTATGTGGCTGGCGCCTTAGCCACTTGAGCCACAGGTGCCGAGCCAAAATAAATAATTTTAGTTTAAAATTGCTTAAGTATTTAGAAACTTTAAAAAAATTACTTTGAAATGTTGTGGAAAATTACATGTGGAATATGTAAAATATAAGGAACAATAAAATAAGTATTGAGGGCGGTGCCTGTGGCTCAAAGGAGTAGGGCGCTGACCCCATATACTGGAGGTGGCAGGTTCAAACCCAGCCCTGGCCAAAAAAACAAAAAAAACCCCCTGTAAAATAAGCACTGATTTGTGCACCATTCAACGTAAGAAATAGACTGTAGTTGTCCTTTGGTATCTCTGGGTGATTGGTTGATTCCAGGACCACCCTCAGATACCACAATCTTTAAATGCTCTATATGCTGCTGTAATGTGGCATATTATTTGTATATAACCTATGCCCATCTTCCCGTATACTTTCAGACATCTCTAGATTGCTTACCATACCACATACAATGTAAGTGCTGTGTAAATAGTTGTTATATTCTATTGTTTAGAGAAAATAACAAGGGTGGGGGAGACTGTTTAGTACAGATAACAGTTGTTTTTCCAAATATTGGTTGGTTGATGTGGAACCCTGATTGCCATGTGTTACTTGCTGTTCATGTCTCTCCTCTGCTAATCATCTATCTACCCTTGTAATCCATACATTATTTTAGTATTTGTCTTTCATTTTTTTTATAGTTCACTATAAATGTATATATCCCTGAAGAAGTTTGTTTTGAACTTTACATAAATGGAATGATAGTGCTTGTATTTTAGTACATTTTCCAGTTTTATGTTGGGCACTTAATCATAATGTTGCTATGTATACATAGAGTTTATTCATTTTCAACCTTGTATAGTGTTCTCATACATGGTTATACCACAGCTTATTGTGTGTTCTCCTGTGGGTGGACTTTAAGGTTGTTTCTCTTTTTTGTTGTTACAGACACTATTGCTATGAACATCTTCATATCTATCTCCTTGTACACCCGTGTAAGAGTTTCCTTAGGGCTAAACTTCAGAGTAGAAATGCTGGGTCAAAGAGCATACACATATTTTATCAGATGTCAGATTATTTAGAGAATTTTTTTTTTTTTTTT